GTGTGAGTGTGCTAGATAGGAGTGAATGGAGACAAATGGTATTTGGGACCTGAGGAGCTGTTGGAGTTTGAGTAGGGCAATATTTAGTGAAGGGATTCAGGGAAACCTGTTATTTTTATATAGCTGGACTTGAGTACTGGAAAAGGGAAGTACAATGCCTGCACTTTAAAGGAGGGGTTTGGGACATTGGCAGTTTGGAGGGATAGTTTGTGTATCTTCAGACATATATGCTTCTAAACTGTTGTGCTCTGGGCACCTCTGCAAAAACAGTGATTATGTATGAGTGAAGTGAAGGTGTTGAATGATGATGAAAGTATTTTCTTTTTGGGGATTTTCTTTCTTTTTGGGTCACCCTGCCTCAGTGGGAGACGGCCGACTTGTGTGGGACGTGAAATGGAATTGTGATAAGTCTCACACTGACTTCAGTGGTTGTTACTTATTTGATGCTCCTTGAGATCAACAATAAAGTCTGATTAGTACAATAATATTGCAATATTTGTCCTCACCAGATAGAGTGTACTTGGGTGTAGCATATGACGACTATTTCTAGGAGTCTACCTTTCTAGGGTTAAAAGTGATTAGTGCACAATAAAATGTTCTTGGATGAGGGTATCAAATTTCCTTAAGATCTTATAAGTGGTCTGCAGGCCAGCCAGCCAGCTAGCTGGCTGACTTGCTCTCTCTCCCTCATCCCTCTCCCCCCTTTCTCTCTCTCTCTCTCTCTCTCTGAAAGAGATTAGAGTACTTCCAACTGTACTTTGATGAGTCAATGATGACCCTGATAGCCAGCCAGATGAACAGGTATTACATATGTAGCAGAATCACCATGGCTGCACAAGTGGAAAGATATAACTGCAGCTAGAATGTGTATATTCCTTGCCAGCCATGTCTATGCCTCATAACTACAAGCACAGTATAGCGCAGTACTGGTCCACAAACTACCACGTCAGTCATTGATTCTGTTCAGATGACACCTGTCGTTTAAGCAATATATACCAAGCAAACATAATTGCTCTGGTATAAAACTTTTAATGGCTGATATGTCTCTATTCCTTGCCATAGGCATGCTTATGTATGTGTAGAATAGTGAGAATAGAAAACATATGCCATATGCCAAGGTTCACTGGACCATCAACAATGTAGGGTGCCACTATGTCTGACACCATGCTTCAGAGAGTTTCATACACTTAGAGACTTCTAAAAAAAACATTGTTGGGGCCTATAAATAATTTATATATACGTACCGTATTTGTAGACAAAAATATGTGATCAAGGCAGGTGTGTAAATGTGTGTTTGTGACTGTCTGATTACTATTTCCATACTTAATATTTGTGTTAGAACAACAGTTGGCTATGAAATCACAAGATCTACTATAAACTGTAATTATTGGAATATAAAAACTACATAAATTAAATAAATAAGAGAGAAAAAATGGTATATCTGCAAAACTTCTACAAGAATCAGGACTCCATGTTGCCATCACGTGAGCATCCAGTGCCAACTTTGTGGCCTTATATCTCAGTAAGTATTGACCTTAAATTTTGGTTGTTACAGTATTAAAACACTTACAAAATCAACCATTTTTTTTTTTTTAATATTTGGAGTGCTGGTGGAGATGCACTGATCAACAGTCTGACAGTTAAAGGGTTAACATGCCAAAGCAAATAATTTTGCTAAAATTAGTGTGTCAGTTTTAGATTCTTCAAAGAATACTAGTCAATTTTAGATTCTTCAAAGAATATTCATCAATTTTAAAATCTTCAAAGAATACTTTTCAATTTTAGAATTTTCAAAGAATCCTCTAATAAGTTAAGAAATCATTTCTATATTGCCATTTTAATCTTACTTAGAGTTTCATAATAAATATGGTAGTAGTCTTGATTTTGTAGATAAATAAATGCCTAGCTATGGTAAAATGGAAAATTGTCACCAATTGCCTAAATGGAAGAGTCTTATTAATAAAATGTTGGAAATATTTTAACATGAAAGAACTTTTAATACAAGAAACATTTCTATAAATGCATTTTTAAGTGCACTTTTAAATAAATTTTAAATGGAAAGTTTGTATTGAATGCCTTAATGGCAAAGCATAATGGCTCAAATATTGGGAAAATTTTAAGAGACAATTTTTTCAAGTAAAAAACATTACTGTAAATACATTTTGAAATGCACATTTAGTTCAAGAGAAACTCTACAACTACTATACCTGTTGTTGTTTCCCAGAAAGTGACTGCACAGTAAGGTCCTCGTGTCATGACCCAGGCATGGGGACTCCCTGATCGCCGAGTTCCAGCACACACCCATGCATCAAGACCATATCCCAACAATATGCTACACAACAAACAGCATTTGCTTTCAGTACCCTGCAAAAGTGAAATTTGAAGATAACTTTTCTGTTCAGCTGTAAAGACATTTGGAAAACTGAGCATAATTAACAAATATTACTGGTCATGAAAAACTTTTATTGTATTGTAAGAACATCTAGGAATTATGATTATTTTTAACCACATCAGTTTTTTCTTCGCCAAGACAGAGTAACCCATCAAAAGAAACATGCACAGTCACTCATTCAATAACTGTCTTGCCAGAAGTGTGCAGACACTGCAATTCGAAGTACAGAGTATATTGTCAGATTCCATTCTAATCAGACATGATCATTGGATCAAAGCTATAAATCCAACAAGTTGATGAATAAGACACATGTAACTCCTGTGTATCCTTATTGAGTGATATTTTTGCCTCCTCAGCAGACTTTATCAATCTAATAAAGAGACGTGAGAACAGGCACATTTTTACTGAAGCCAGTAAAAGAGATGTAGCAGATGAAGAGGTGGTCACATGTGGCAATGGCCATGAGGTGAGTCAGGCATCAGCTCAGCATAAAAGGCTCTGTCATCATGCTTTTGTATTACATTCATAAAACCTGTTATGTGGGTGACATGTCATTTAATAAAGATTGCACGTATCTTACCAACGTGTCAATATTAAACCTCTGATCTAATTATACTTGTCTGACACAGCAGCATCATGGAATCTTGGTACAGAGGATATCTTCTACATCTCCATTGTTAAGTCTATGGTTTAAACTTATGGGACTGACCTACTTTCACTAGTGGGCTCCATCCACTTGTGACTATCTTCAAGGACCCCAATGGAAAAAAAAAAAAAACCATACCACGGACGGGGATAGAACCCGCGATCAGAGAGTCTCGAAACTCCAGACCGTTGCGTTAGCAATCGTGTCATTACGATTTCGTGAGTCATGACACCAATGGAAATAAGTCACCTTGTCTGACTTTCTTGGGTTATCCTAGGTAATCTACACATATGCTGCTATGTATGAAAACTTATGTAACTGTATTTATATGTACCTGTGCCTGAATAAACTTACTAACTGCCGCTTCACTCTACAATTTCTACAACTCCACTGCTAAATCTCTGATCCACTTAATGGGCCTGATCTACATTCTGCATCACTTCACCTCTTTAACTGGTTCCAGTATTAGAGGCTCCATCTTCATGACTATTTATTAGACTGATAAAACCTGATCTGTAGCCAAACCATCTCTCAGTAAGACAGGTGGAAAAAGACAAATGCACTATAATGCAATCCTTTAGTGATATTTTGCTCACACAGGGTGAAACATCACCAATGAAAGATCACACTCTAGTGCATTTTTTCCTTTTTTTTTTTCTCTCCATCATGTTGGTATTTTATAGCATTTCCCTCCAAGATACACGGGTGTTGCACACGTGTCTTATTCAAGAACACTCACACCTGCTTACCAGTGAGCGAGCAATGAGAGCTATAGGCAAGGTGTACCACAGTTTATTGGAGCCTGCTGGTAGCTGGTGTAGAGTCGAGGAGGGCATAACGCTGATCCAACGAGCTGCTTCCTCAGGTGACTTTAGCAATCGTCCCACCTCTAACCTTCGCACAAATTCACACACAAATCTGGAACATAATTGCAATTTGAAGCTTTGTCAAAGGAACATGAAACACTAAAAATCAAAACAAGTTGCACAGAACTAAAACCTAATGTATGTTGATGAAGATGGACTTCATGGTATGCCTCACTTCTACAGGAGAGCTACAACCTATGCAAGTTCCAAAATTTGTGGTACAAGTATGCACTAATGAGATATTTTGTTGGCCACCATGATGGAAAGAAGTGCAAGGGAAACATGATTGCTACTTGCACTAAAAATGAGAATTCTGTCACTGATTCAGTGAAAATATTTAAATACTCATCTACACTTTTGGTGGATCACTTGGGGGAAAGTACAGCCTTTTTCACATAAAAAAATCCACATTCATCAAAAGTTCATGATGTACAGGACAAAATGTGTTTGATTATAAAGAAATGTGATTGTTCCTTAAATATATGATAAAATATACAGAAAAGAATTATAGCCTCAATAGTGAAACATCACAGTCCAAACATACCAAACTGAAAATCAAATTTAATTTAAATATAAGTATGGAAAGAACACCTGCCTAGATGAAGAGTCATTTTGAAACAGCAAGACAAGTATGTTTTAAGTGTGCTTTATTTTTTCCAATGCACTGGCCATCTCCTACCAAGGCAGGGCGACCTGGAGGTGGGAAGTACAATGCCTACACTTTAAAGGAGGGGTCTGGGATATTTGCTGTTTGGAGTGACACCTGAACTGTGGTATCTGTGTGCCTCTGCAAAAACTGATTATGTGTGAATGATGGTGAAAGTTTTTCTTCTTTTTTCTGGGTGACCCTGGCTCGGTGGGAGATGGCCAGTGTTGAAAAAAAAATATACAGGAGAAGGGGTTATTAGCTTCTTGCTCCCAACATTTTAGTCACCTGTTACGAAACCCATGGCTTATGGAGGAAGGATTTAAGTATACATTACTGTATATTATACTTGACTGTCTCATTTCAGACATTACACCAAATTCAAATTCTAACTTTCTATCAAGTTTATAACAGATTTACCTGTATTTTCCACATTCATCCATAGCAAACAACTGGAGTAATCTTGATGAATGACTAGCTGAAGCATCCAAATACTCCTGCCACCACTTTTGTGCATAAGTGTTGAAGAGTCGTCTTCTTTCTCCTACAAGAGTCTTTCTCTCCTGAAGGTACTTGGAAACAACTGAAGCTTGCAGAGGATATGCCATTGCTGGAACTAATGTTGCCTCCATGTCTAGTAAACCAATAGGTACTTCTTGTTCACTGCCTGGAATAAAGACATATCTGGAGGTGTTTTCCTTGGCTTCCCCTGACATGGTTTTAGTGTGGGCATGTCATCACCACCTTTCTCACAGAATCAACATATCCAGTTCCTCACTGTATGGTCACACACATAACGGCCTCCACCATTTCCTTCATTTTATGGCCTGCCTTACGTAATCCAATGATCTGGGCTATTTTATCTTATGTCAGACTATTCTTCTCCATATTAATTCATCTACAGCACAAAATGTCTGACACCCCCTGTACTCAGGAGCAAATGATGTAGGGACCATAGACACACACACTATCCACCACACAAGTTCAGAAAGCACTGAGCATACAGCAAGTTGCATAGCAGAACCTGATATCACACTACATTTTGCCAGGTCAACAAACAGTTCTGTTGCTACAAAATACCTAACATTATTTTCAACATTAAAGCTTGCCTGTTGGAGGCCCCAGGCAAACTTTAATAATGAGCACTGTAATCTACTCAATAATTTTTCTGTCTTCAGCTATTATGATCCAGAAGAAACTGAACAAACTGATGTTTCATTGTAATAATGTTGGTAGAATTACCGACAATATGTAAAGTAAAAGGACACAAGTGCAACTAATGTGACATTTTATTGTGGCAACGTTTCGCTTGACAAAGCTCCTGGAGAGCAAAGCGTTGCTACAATAAAATGTCACATTAGTTGCACTTGTGTCCTTTTACTTTACATGATGTTTCATTGAAACCATTAGCTCATACCATCTTCACCATGTGTGCACTACTCTTATTCTTATCTAATAAAGTATCTTGATTTTCAAAACACCAAGATTTTCATGCTTAACCCTTTGAGGGTCTGTCCCATAGT